TCTAAAAGTCTGGACCCATAGGAAAAAATACATGATTTATTTTTAATTTATTTATTATTCAAATTGCATGCCATTAACAGCCATACATGTATCAATTCTTGGTATACTGTGCCATCAGGGTATTTTCTTTTCTGAAATACGTACAACTGACATTAGAAGTGTGTTTGTTTAACTTTAAAAATATAAGGTCTATTTTCCCCTCTGAGTCCGGACTTCTGGGACACCCTGTACAAGACAACGTCCATGGGAGGAAGAATGGCTTTGTATGTCTGCAAGTCCAATAATATTGAAATATGAGAGGGAAAAAAGAACGTTTATTTCACTAGGAGAAAAGCATAAAGATTTGCAGTCTTTTTGAAGCTTTGAAATGATGTAATTAAATGTGATATAGATGAAATTATGATCTTAATCTCACCATACTAGTAAAATAGCGGGCATTTTACTGAGTTTTCTGTTTATCCCAGCACATTAATGTTGCATTCAGTAGTTATTCTATGTGCCTGAGATGGCATCAATGTGCACAATCCAATACCTTTCACACAGTGCCATTCAACATGGTATTATGCGTTTGATTTGAGACTTATCAACTATTCATTGTAGAGTAAAGTGAATACCAGATATATTATACAGGGATACTGAAAATTTTTGTAGATGGTCATTGATGAAGAATCTAGAGGTTATGCAAAGAATACAATGGACAAAAGTATCTTTATTCTCTACACCAATACCACCTTGCACTGTGGCATATCCGAAACAGACTGGTGTTCTCAATTCACAGACAAGTCTTGAGTACAAATACTTTTGGGACTTGTCTGATTTTCCTTATGTACACCATTTCATGTTCATATACATTGTAGGTTCAGAATATTAGTCAGTATTCCTTTCCTCCTCCAATACAAGGTTGGTCCAAAGGCCTGGTTAATATAATCTAGTAAAAAACTATGTATAGGTATATATATACACACAACAGCATAAACTAAAAATTAATTTTTCAGTTGGAACAGTAATGGTGTAATTCATTATAACAAAAATCTTATCTTGTAGTCTGGTTTACACAAACTTGGATATAAATACTGTGATGAAACAAAACTGAACTGTTGAAATCTATGAGCCTATCATTTTGTTTATTCTTTGGTTTTAACCATAAGCTTCTTGTTTTTGTGTGAGGATTGGCCTCTGAAGATTTACTGGTTCAAGTACATTTTTCAGTGATATTATATAGTTTATTATAATAGTCTTGCCTGTCTTTGTTTACTTAAAATCATCTTTTTTTTTTATTTTAGGTAACGTTGTATAGTATATTTGTGGCTGTCATGGCTTTCCATGCTCGAGTGAGTGATCCAGCCATTGGAGGAACTTACATGACTTTACTGAACACTGTCACAAATCTTGGGGGAAACTGGCCAGCAACCCTTGCCCTCTGGTTTGTTGATCCACTTACCAGTAAATCATGCGTTGGAGGATTGTACAATGGAATGTCTTGTGGAACAAAAGCCCTCTCAGAGGTGAGATAATTCATTCATTTAACTAAATAAGTACTTGTGTCTTTAAATCCTAAACAAAACAGCATGTGTACAATGTTGGGCAGTTTCCAGTTAACACACTGTAAGATATTATTAGAAGAACAATGATCAACATTTTCGTATCGGGCATCTTTTTATGTTTTAGTAAGGACTTATTTATCAGTGTAGTGAACTCTCTGTATAATCACATGTTATGCAATGTATCAACTGACATTTTTTCATCTTTTTCTTTCAGAGTTGTGTGAGCAGTAATGGAGAGTGTGTCGTTACCATTGATGGGTATTATATAGAAACTGTTATTTGTGTTGCTTTGGGATTTTTATGGTTACTTTGGGGAAAACATAGAGTCCAACGTCTCCAGACACTCTCCGAATCTGCTTGGAAGTGCCAATAGGTAGGAAGAGACATTAAATGTGGAATTAAAAAAAAAGTATATAGCACTTAAGCTAATTGTTATGAGCAGGTATGATTTGAGTAATAAAGTTTCGACCTGATTTCCTGTCAGTATATAAGAAACCCAGTAAAAAAATAAAGCGTAAACCTGCAATTTTGGTGGAATAATAAAATTAATTTGCACTAATACACAAACATTTCAACTCTTACTCATTATTATGTTATTACTTTATATACAACAGTTTAATTTATATATATATATATATATATATGTGTGTGTTGTATTATAGTCATTTTTTGTGACAGGAACTTCCTCATGTGAAGTATTTGTTTGTCTTCTGATGAAGAGAATTAAATGTGATTTTTGAAAGCAAAATTCTCTGTAAATTACGAGGAGCAAATCAACAAATGACTACTAGTTTTGTAAATATCTAAACTTGTGCTCAATTAATTCAGATGGTATCCTATAGTTATTCTTAAAACTGCTCAGTAAATTTTTGTTTTTTTTCCTACAGGCACTGAACTTCGGAAGCATAAAGAAGTGTATGTTGTTGTATTCCACATATCGCAATATACAAAGAATCCACTGAAAATTATATACTATACTTGATCTCTTCTAAAAATATATTACATTTCTAATACGTCTGTCTGCATTAATATGGTGAAATATAAGTTTATAGGTAATGTCGTAATGGGTTTTGTAATGTGTTATTTTCTTCTTTAGGCACAGTATGTAATGTCGTTACACAAACAATTTATTTATGCTTTAGTATATTTTGTAATTGCATCTATTTCTTTAAGCACAATAGTAGTGTTCAAAAAGTTAAAAACCAAGAGACTTGTGGTAACTTCGACTAACAGTTATTCTTGAAGAAAGACACAAGATTAAAACATCTTCATAAAATGCACCATTTTAATTTTACATAATTTCCTGTCAGTAGATTGAAAGGATAAAATCTACCCCCCCCCCCCCAATTCGATTCTTTATGTGAAGTGATTCTGTGTCAGTCCTTGGAACATTTCGTCCTTAACCATTACATATATGTTTATGAATCTTGGCATGTGTATAAATACAGATACACACATAAATGGTTGTTTGTAAAATTTCTAGTAATTTATTGATCATACAGTATTTAAAATGTAACAGTCTTTAATTTTATCTCATATTTAAACAACTTTGTTTTGTTTTTTTATATGGTGGTGAATTTTGACAAACTAGTTGCCTTTCTTAGTGAAGCCAGCAAACATTCTGAATAAGTTGACAACTCTATTAGTCCAGGAAGCCATTACCTTGAATAAAAATTAATGAAAAACTTTTCTTTTGGTTGCTATATGTTAGTTTTTTGTCAGTAAAACGTGGCTGGTATTTCAATACATGTTGTGCAGCACATGTAAATTCAAAAAACCTTTTAATTCTCACCTGTTTGTTTATGATCAACCTCTATCCATAGAATTGTATTTTGTGTTTTATCCAACATCACAATGTTCTGTCATTAAGTAACACTTGGTTTTTCTAATTAGTATTTTAGTCTGATCAATGCTGGGAAATGATTAGGCCCAAATCACTAGTTTCATTTTTTAAAGTGAAAAAACTTTCTTTGTATCTTCTATCCTTTGTTTTTAAAATTGTATAAACAAAGGGAAAGTTTAATACATCATGTAATAAAAAAAGTTACAACTGTGGATTTTCTTTGGTGTTCTCTTTAATAATTATACAGTTATGGTCAGAATAACACAAACTAATATCCTGACATAATACTATTACTCAATATCTCATACTTAGAACGTTTCTGTCACTAATGCACTACATAACACTTTATTTCCCCTTTGTGTAGAATAATTTTGATCAAAAAAATATTTATATGATCCAAATTTCACTGGCATAAGTTTTAACAGTGTTATTTATTGTGTGTCAATACTTTGAACTTCTCTACAACAAATAACATACTTTGTCAAAACTAATAATTTCAAATTTACAAAGAGTGTTATAACAGAAAAGTAAAAGCTATTGAATGAACTTATATTAAGCCATAGGTTATTACTATAAATGACAAATACTTAAATAATTCAAATTAGCCCAGTTTTAATTTTTTGGTTTCCAAGACATGAAAATTTGATTGAACAGAAATAATTAACTTGTTTAGCTTTAAAAAAATATTGACCTAACTTATGTTCAATTTCTTAAAATATTTTAATCCTGTAACAAGTTATTTTAAATTTATCTTATAATGATCCTTATTGTATTGAATAATTATAAAACCTCTAAAGATTCATATTCAAGGAACTTAAAGATCTCCTTTTCTGTTAAAAGATCTTGTATATAAAGTGAAAAGTACCATGTAATATTGGTATATAAGTGTATCTATTACATTTGTTTTTTTTCATATTCATTAAGCTCTCAATTCCAAATGAAGGTTATAGCACCAAAGCTACAATAATTGTAACTTTGGCAATTCTGTTCTGCTTTAATGTAAAAAGAACATACTTTTTAAATGATCTTTAAAACTTAGCCAAGAAATGTCAGACAAGTTTTCAATTATTCTTTATTAGTCTACATAATAATTGTATAGAATCCTACTGGACTGTCCACTCTGCCGTAGCCGAGCAGATGATTAAATAAACACTGCTACAGAACTGGAAATTGAACATTACTACAAGTGAAAAAAGAATAAAAACATACCGATATGCTGAAGTAATAACAGAAAAAAATATCTCCTATAAGACTACAAGTTTTTACAGAAAAACAAATTACTCAGTGAAATTGGAATCAAACAACACTCAATCTTACCTGGTAGATTACTGTGTGCTCAAGTAACAATAATAATCCACCAGTATTTACAAACCTTTTAATTGAACTTTCATAATTTACAAATTTCAGTAATTGCAACCTTTTGATACCAAGCATTCTACACATTTAAGTTTTACTACCGTTAGCGAAAAATAGATTCTGTACACAGCATCTTAACAGTTCTTGTTAACTCCATAATAATATTTGCAAATGAATATATACCTATCTGTGAATGAAAACTTACCATAATGATACACAAGAACTGACTGGTTGTTAATAAACTATTCTGTACATTATGGTTTGAGACCTTAAAATTTCTGTTATGTTAAAACTAGAGAAACAGCCATTAAAGACTTTCAAAGGACTTTTTACAACTCTGGAAGGTATCATAATCCAGTAATTACAACTTTCTCTCAATTCAACTCAAAGAAATGTATTCAAGAACAGGTTAGGTGAATAATTTCTGTGTCGGCAGTCTAACCATTAAGATTGAAGTGGTTGGTGTTAAGTTCAATTTAGGAACATCTAGTACTCCAACAGTTTCATCTTTACAATAATGGACAAGAGGATCACCAAGTTAAGGTCTTTTGTTACAATTGACACTCATCAAATTCCATGAATTCTTCATCAGTTGGCAGTCAACGATGGACTCACCTTGCTGGCAAACAAATCATCAGTTGGCAGTCAACGATGGACTCACCTTGCTGGCAAACAAATCATCAGTTGGCAGTCAACGATGGACTCACCTTGCTGGCAAACAAATCATCAGTTGGCAGTCAACAATGGACTCACCTTGCTGGCAAACAAAATCTTGCACAAATTCTCTGTCCAAAACTTACGAAAAAGTGTTTCGATTAAACTCTTTTATCAAACTATACAAATACATCTGGTGTGATAAAGTTAGCAAATATTTTCAAAGTAATAAATTTAATTGCATTTGAGATTTATTCATATATCTTTTTAAAGTTTTAGTGTAATTACTTCCTTAATTAAGTATACTACGACTTTGAAAGACAGAGCCAAAAGATAAGTATATTTGCATCAAAAGAAAGGGAAATGTTCAGATTAATACCTTGCTTTTAGCCAAATGTAATGATTTTCAAATGTACTTGCCTTACCGTTCTCATAGGGCAAGCAAATACACATCAGTAATAACATTTGTTTGCATTATTTTTAAAGCTAGCATTTTAATTTACCTTTTAGGTATTGAAAAGAACTTTCCAAGAAGGTTACATTGGACTTAAAATAACTTAAGACATGATGAAAGTCAATGAAACAAGATTGGTGGAACAAATGAATACCTTACATAAAGAACACGACAGAATTACATGTGCATAAATGCCCCAAACAAGGGGAAATTTATCTCTAAGTCAATAAAACACCAACAAGATCAGGTCCATAAGCACTGTAAAACAGATCATGGACTAAAGAATATACATCAATGCTACTGAACCTAGTGTGTAGTTTTTTTGTTGTTTTTTTTACTTCTTCTTCACAGGCCCACGAGGAGGTGTCACAGGTCGTCCAGAATTAATACCACCATACTGGTATTTGGCTTTCTTTTCTGATGGCTTAAGGATCTAGGTCAAAAAATAAAACAACTTGCTATTAATAACCAAATAATATACCAGTTTAAGACACACGTGGAGTTTAGTACGTGTATCTTTATGTTATCAGTCACATGCATACCGGAGTTCCGTCCGTATTTTCTTTGCAGTATGATCACATGGACGACTCATTGAAACTGTAGATATAATGAAATAATAGTTCACGTACCAAATTCGTGTTTTTACTTAGTTTGGGCTGCAACTGAAATAGAATAGGTTTCCCCAAAACCTTTTGTTGCTAGCTCATCGCTAACTTAGTGTACATTAAAAAGTTCCTATAACACCCATTTGTTCTTTTACACTAGTATAAAAGGTCTTTAGAAGCTTTTACTTAAAAACAACCAGGGAACACTGTAACAGTCTTGTTGATTTTAATAAAAGCTCCTTAGTTTATGCATTAGTCTCAATGCAACAGATAATTGTATCTAAGGGTGTTTTAAATTTTCTTTTCAGTTTCTTACAGTGTCATGGAAAAGCTTTTGAAGTTACCTTGACACCTAATATTCTAGCCTTGTATTGTATATAATTACATCAAAGTAACAATACTTTATAAATAACTAGTCATGTTACCCTTCTAAACATGAAGAGCATTTAATCTTAAGAACTAAATCATGTACTGACACGATTCTATCAGCTCATCGATTATTTGTTTCCCCTCTTCACATTTTGCACCACCCCTACTGCAACAAACTAATTTTTTTGTGCTTCAGTTCCTTATTAGCCTAAGAATTTATCACCACTTGCTCAAGCACTGGAAAAGCATGAACACAACCTTGGTTACACCACTGATTTCTTTTTAAGATGAAACGAACCAACATAAAAATTGATGCATTTAAATTAACAGACATATGCACTAGACACACATCAATTTTAATAAGGTAGGCGTTGATCACAGAACTCATTAAGGAAACCAAAAGATCATTTTCTTCAAAGTCCAATTTCATTTTACACATCTATTCCCCTCAAGATGGGTGATGGGTGTAACAATCACGGGTTTTGAGTGTTCGACTCCATATAAGAAAATAGACTGACAGAACATAAAAGAAGTACTGAAATGTGAGTAAAAACTAAACCAACCTCAACCGGGCACAGAAAGAGAAAAATGAAAGCTGTAAGACATGAAAACTACATCCACAGCTAAAAACTTAACAGTAACAAAACCTAAACATACCTGGAATGAACACATCAAAGTTTCATCCACAGACATCATCCCACCAGCATTATCAAATTCACCACAGTAGTTTGGAGCTGAAAACAGTGTGACCAGTTGACGTTTAGCAAAAAATTCGTATCCATCTTCTACAACCTGTAAACAAAACAGTAATAATCTTAGCACAGGCACTTTCAAGTTCTTTAAAAATATGGCACTTCATGAAGTGCTTTACAGATAGAAGGTTCAGTACAAATCTATAGATATATTTTGAAAGGACAAAATACAAGCCTCGTAACAATTTCCAGAAGTAAACAATATCACACTATTCTTACAAAGGGAAACTACATTACATTTAAAAATACAGAATAAGTTGAATAGACAAAGGTAAAATCTGAAAAATAGTAACATAAAAGGAACAAGCTTGCTACTTTTGTCAACTGAACTATGGAGATGTAAGAATAAAGATGATAATCTTGAATCCTTTGTTTTCCCATTAAACATGAAGAAAGGATACACTTTGTGTAGTAATGCTATTAAAAGTTTGTAGTATTATACATTTAAAAAGAACAATGCATTTCACACCTACCTGATGAGCCCTGCAAATCAAATCCAGGTCATGACGATTGAGGAACTTACTGACAACATCTGCTCCAAATGTAAAAGATACACCCCGGTCATTTTCACCCCATCCTTGGACATCCTTGTCTGGGTCTGACCAAAGAAGGTCGCAGAGAAGTCCTGAAAAATGAATGGGGTGAAATTATATATTCCATAAAAAAAAAAAAAAACTACTTAATTTCTTAACCTAAAGCTATAACTTCTCCAGCAGTAAGGCTTCTTTGGGATAAACAAGACACTTGCTAGCTGATTTAGGCTTATACAAAATATTAAAAAATGCTTTAAACATTATAATCTTCTCCATTTGCACATACTTTCAATTTGTTTATGTGTTCTCAGACAAAGTCCGCCTTACTAAACAAAATGAAATTATTTTGAAATCATTTGTATAAATAACATTTACTTACTTCAAGAACACTAATACTTTTTACATCACAGGGAGATGGTCCAGCTCAAAAACGAGAAGATACTAGTTACTTGAAGAAATTTATGTTTGAAAGTTCACTGTAAACCTTTGTTTCTGTTCTTATTTTATTTTAAAATGTTCCTTCAGTTTTTACTTGACCTAATAAGGTATTTTACACACTTTTAATTTATTTACTTGCTTTTAAAAATTTTCCCTTTTAATTTGAACTTTATTTTTTATTAACATTATGTGAAGTTTCAGTTCTTGTGTTGAGTCAAGTTCAGATTCAATTAATTACTTTTTCAAATGTCCAACTATAAGAACAGAATTATTTGATAATGAAAACAATTAGGTAAGATTATTCTATCAAACATACAGGTAGCTGAGAAAGAAAACCAATTCTCCTCTCACAAAGAATAACATTTCTTACAAGACCCATCAACAATATCTACCTGTATCAGGGACATCTGTTGGTCTCATGATGCGACGAATCTGTTCCATGGATTGTAGATCAGGTGACAATCCTAGTAAAACAGTGTTTAAGATTCACAAACAAACAAAAATCAAAGAACTTGTAATCTACACAAAAATTACAGCAGTAGTTCTAACTGAATCTTAAGAAAAATTTACTGTTTATAGCCCAAAGTTTAATCTTAAATAATTACAAAACAAAAATCAATTTATGTATAGATTACTACACTTTTAACATGCAAAAAAAATCTAATGTTACCTCAGGGACTGATTCAATACAATTCAGATACTATAAACATATTATTTTTATGCATAAAATTATTAACACGTTTCACAAACATTCAGTATTAGTACCGCCATGACACCAAAATATCTTCAATTCAGATACTATAAACATATTTTTTATGCATAAAATTATTAACACGTTTCATAAACATTCATTATTAGTACCTCCATGACAACAAAATATCTTCAATTCAGATACTATAAACATATTATTTTTATGCATAAAATTATTAACATGTTTCATAAACATTCAGTATTAGTACCTCCATGACAACAGAATATCTTCTCATCAATTATTGCTGCAATAGGTAGGCAATTAAAGCAATCAGTGAAAGTCTTCCACAGTTTGATGTTGTACCGTCGTTTGCCTGAAAAAGGTTCATTTTCATGATCTTATACAGAAAATACATAAACATTAACACTGTTTGAATTTAAAACAGGCTCTATTTATACTTTCATTGTACTGTGTAAAGAAACCAATGCCTGCAGGATCCATGTAAGATAACTAAAAAATAATTAAAAAAAATAGCACTTCAAAAAAACATACTTGATAACATTCTTACAGGAGCATTCCAAAAAACAGAGGGATTGTTAACTTTATGCTAGTTAACTACTTCCCAAATTTTAAATTACAATTATTTCATGTTAGTGGTGTGGGAAATATATGGAAAACTTCACACATATAAAGCCATAGATTAAAGCAACAATATTCATTTAATATGCCTCTACAAATGGATATTATTTTGCTGTAAACATAGCTCAATATAAAATTATAATCTTCGGAGATTCAAGAAATAGATTCTTTTTAGGAGTTTAGTTTTTAAGCATTGAATATTCCAAATTAAAATTTTAAATGAATTTCAAATATATTTAATAACCTTAACTACGGTTCTACTAAGTTGTTTTTTTTTTCATATAAAAAACATCAAAAAAACAGCCTCATTTAAGGAAGTTATTGTATTTTTCCTGGATAAGGATTAAATTTCATGCTTCTTCCGAGCCTTTTGTATGTAAGATTCTGAACATTCTTCTTAAACTTATACAAAAACCTTAAAAGTACACTTACATTCATCATAAAACCCATATATTCTATTAATGCTCGCACATTCATGATTTCCTCTCAACAAAAAGAAGTTTTCTGGATACTTGATTTTATAAGCCAATAATAAACATATAGTCTCTAGAGACTGCTTTCCTCTATCTACATAGTCTCCAAGAAAGAGATAATTTGCCTCTGGTGGAAAACCTCCATATTCAAACAAGCGGAGAAGATCTGTGTACTGACCATGAATATCACCTACAAAAAAAGGAAAGGATTAATTTTAATTTATGGAAACTGTGCTAACCTAAAATATCTCAACATTTTTAAGCCGTAACAATTTTCCCACTGAAACTTATAGATCCTTTAAACTACTACTTTTTGTCACCAAATCTTTCCCTATCCTTACTACCATTCATATAATGAATGGTTAACACTTCATATAAGTATCCGTATGGTTTTAAATCATGAAATATTCCCCCATTTTCCTATCTAACAAAGTCAAACCAAATCAGATGAAGAGTGAAAGTTCAGCTAAAACGTTTGTGTATTATCAAAACTGTAAAAAGTTCAACAAACGTTTAGCTTTAGTGATCCTCAAGAAATTAGATAAGAACTATTAATATGTTGCGTTATGAATAAAAAGTTACAAATGTTACAATTTCAATTAAATATCTACTTAACACTTAGCCCTGTAAATCAGATTTTTTTCATAGACATGTACTATTACACGACTTTATGCAAATTGTTTTAGAGATTTTTGTTGAATGTACTTGAAGTACATTTTGGTCTCTGTGCTAATGTAAACTGCTGAGAATGGATAGTTTTGTATGACATGTTTAATATGTTTGATTGATTCTAGTAAAAAAAAAAATAGAATACAACTTTTCTTTCATTTTCTTAAACATTTATCCAAATAATTTTTCTGCAAATTGGCTCATTTTTATATGATATTCCTCCACATTTTTTTAAAATACAGAATTGTACACAAGCCACACAAGATACTATATAATTCTAAGTAGCTATGCTACTCATACTCAATAACACTGTCACTGATCCAGACAGTAGTATATTATATGGCTGAATTTATATCATTTTAATATCACCACCATGAGTACAAAACAGGATTTTGCAATGGTCTGAATTATGTATAAAACTCACCACATATTTTAAGAGGAGCTTCCAACTCAAGTAGTATGGGCTGACTCAAGAAAATTTCTCGTGATTTTAAACATAATCCTCGAACTTCGGCTTCAGTCAGCTGTACTGTTTTTCCAGGTCGACAACCTCTAACTAAAAAGACACATTACTTGTAATACTTCATGCCCACATAACTGAAGAAGTCCTGATGTGGTTATTTTATAATGTAAACCAGAGTATTTTACTGAAAAACACAGAGCAATTAACTTTAATTTTACTTGCAAATAAATAATAGAAATACTATACACACACACACACACACACACACTCACACTCACTATAAAATACATTCAAATGTGCATATTTAAAAACTGATCAGGAAAATCAAGTCTGCTAATTTATTCCATCTGAAAACTTTTTTTTTACTCATTAAAAAAGAATGACCCGAGTGACTTGACTATCTGTCACTTCCAAAATAAAACAGTCTACCTAAACTTAAAAACCATGTTCCATTTATCCATGCTGTCTGTGATGAACAAGAACAGAAGAAACGTGTACACACAAAGTTTGATATTTATGTAAGAACTACTAACCTGGGAATTGTGTTTTTGTAATAATGTATGAATATGAGGCTGCATCTATTCAAGATTTAGTAAAAACATACCAGTCAGGGTAAACGCTAGCCTAAAACAAACTGAAAGCATCGATCAGCTACAGAATGCAAAAAAACTGGAAGTAGAAAGTACATAAAAAAAAAGAACAAACAAAGGTAATGAAGAAAACATTTATATGAAACAAGTAAAAACTACACAACGGATACATAGGTGTACCTTTACACAAAGAATTATCAGAAGATTAACTCATTCAAATGCACTGTACCACATTCCTAACTCAGTCACGTACACTTACAAACATCACGGGAAGATTTTTGTTGTTTTTAATCACCTGTACATTCCAAGTCAAACAGAGTTTTTGGAAAGTTTAATTCTGATCTATAACAAATCTCACATGCTTCCATTCCAAATTGAAGAGAAACAGTTATCCAATATTTTATTCTTCCAGCTGCAGTAAGTAGCAGTAAAACCAAAACAGGACACATTTCATCATCACAATGAAACAACTTGTACATTTCTTCACAATTTAAATACATACTGAAAATGAAAATAGTCAATGTAACAGAAAAACATAATTGCTCTACATATTTATTTGATACATTTAATATGCTTCATGCTAAGCTACATAATCTGTGTATTTTAATTACTTTCTGGTACATTACACATTCAAAGGGTAATAATGTTTACATTCACCAGATAAACTTTATCATGCATGACTTTGCAATACGTTTTTGATTACTAAGGGCTATAATACGCATAGTCATACTCCACATCTCATTATACCTGTATATAAAATGTCAACAATTGTTTATGTAATACTACTCTAGCATAATGAATCGTAACTATATGTCATACATGACAATTCAGGTAGTGTAAAAGTAGGAGTAATATATTAAGTAGGTGTAGCAAAATATAGTTTGATTACAAACTGGATCAGATGTACATGGCTTCTTACAATATCATAGCAAATACAGAAATAAGCTGTTTTACAGAGATTATAACCACAATAATCAAACAGTATTTCAGTGTCATGGATTTTGTAAATATGAAGATATATAAATATACCCTTAAAAACATGAAAAGTAGCTGAAAACTTGGAGAAAAATCTAAAACTATGTATTTATCTTAGATATTCCAATATAAGTACTGCTGCATACAGATTAACATCATATAAACAAATAACCTAACCTTAAACAGTCCAGAAGAAACACATTCTACCACAAATATTAAAGACAAGAAGTTTTTATTAACACTAGTAATCCACACTATAAAAATAAAGTGACACCTTCCTGAAAATTTAATGCCATAAGTTTCATGGAAATGTTTATAGCACATTGATTCAATTACAGTAAAAGCACTCAAATCAAAGATCATTTTGATTCAGTTACACACTTCATTTACACAATCTTTAAGTACAAAATAAATGCCATAAATGAAAGGAAAACACATTTCAATAGTATATTTTTAAAGGGCACAAAAAATGATACAAGTTTAATTGAGTATTAATTTTTTGCTATTTTAAATTTTGCACTCACAAACGTTAGTTTCAAAGAAAAAAAACTTTTCATAAGAGAATTACTTTTAAGAATCCAGCATTTTCTGGATCTAATATCAATCCAGGCTACTTATAAACATATTTAAGAATATATAAAGTAATGTTTATATTATTCTTTGAAGAATACTGTACCTGGAAACAGAAAATTAAAAACATAAATTCTTAAATATACATCATATGCAAACCAACAAGTCTGAAATTGTTGGTCCTAAAGAGCAAGTGATTTGTTTCTATCCGAAACCATAAATTCACATCTGAAATGAAATTCACAAAGCATAAATAAATATGCATTAGGGTGGCCCATATTTTCAAACTTCCAAGTTTTTAGTGTGGTATTCAGTGAATCTGCGAGGATTAGTGATAAACTGATCTGGACCAATATTTAGCAAAATACATTCAAAACTAGAATGGCATGCGGTAAAGCTCCTACCTCTGCCACACAGCATTGATCATATTTGGCTCTCAAAAAAAAAAAGAAAATGTGTCTGTATGTCCATCATTATCAATGGACATGGACCATTTTTGGCAAGACAATGAGGAATAACACTCTACATATGTCCACCAAGTTTCATCAAAATCCGATCATTTTCGATGAGTTTTAGAGCAAAAATTGTGTGAAAGATTTATCCCCATGTTAACAGATAGAAATTTTTTTGGAATTTTGTGACCTTACCCTCCAAAAACTAATCACTTGTAAGTTGGGTCATAGTCAATTGCATACTAACTTTTGTCCAAATCCATTCAGCCAATTGAGAAATCTTCCCAACAAACACACACACAAAGGGTTGAAAACATAACCTCCATTCACCCTCATTACCAAATTTTCTTGTTTTATAATGCAGTTCAAAAGGCAGTCTGAACCTCGAAGATTGAAAACGAGGTCTGACCCATGTACTTCAACACCACTGCCTCAAACATTGGGAATAGGAACAAAGCCTGTATCTTTCTTGAGAAAAAGTTGGAAAAAGCTTGCTCCACTTTGCCTGCTAGAGGCACTTTTCTCAACTTTCTTGGGAATATCAGATAGGCCAGACATTTTGCTCTTCAAGTGCTTTCAGGAAAAGCAGGGATTCCCAGACAAGGAAAGATTCCAGACACCAATGGATGACAACACTACAACTTCCACTGTCTTGGATATCTGTTGAATAAATACTTTGGACTTAGTAACCAGAGATGACTATAGAGAACTAATAGAGTTAGTAACAACTTTTTTTTTAGAGGGACACTACTTCAAGGAGTTCAGTTGTAGGCTCTAGGAGTGATGCATCATGCCAAGTGGATGATGAAAGACATCTACACTATCAAAGTCTTCATGTTCCAAGGCCAGTTTAAACTCAAGGTCAGAGAGAAGGCAGCGATGCTAAAAATTTTCATATTCATGCCCACCATTTACATCAGAGTATGGTATTGAGCCACCATTGTCTGCTCCAAGGAATGACCCGCAAATCTTTAATCTTACAAGACCTTGGATGCACAGGTGTTCAACACTACAATGAAGAAGCTCATTCACCAACTTTTATATTTGTTCGAGGAGTTCGTTGCTCTCACCTTCATGACAATGATTTGTTAGTGGAGACCAAGTGCTGTATGATCTAAGCGCTTGAGAACCACAAGAATGAAGATTGACAGAACAGAGTAATGATGAAAGAGAAGGACTTGAAGACAAAGACCAAAACCATGGAGAACTTCATAACAACCAGCAGTCTCTAGTTTTTGAAATCATGGACATCAAATTGAACTCCTTCCTCTCCAAGGATCAAGACTAAAAGAAATAAGAAGAAGAGTTCTTAAAGGTCAAAGAAATGTACAAGCAGCTCCACGTTGTCAATGACACTGCAGAATATAATGTAGCCCTCATGGAAGAATACAGATGGCTTCACACAACAGCAAGGACCAAAAACTGTCTTCTTCTGGTGATCAAATAACAAAGGAAGAAATTTTGTGATGAAAGGAAGAACACCATCATGAAAGCTGTAGAAGTGATTACTGTTTATTTCTGTAATATGGGAGCATACTAGCAGCATCGAGCAAGTCATTTTCTAAGGTTCTATAGTAAATGTGTTGAAAATAATTTTTTTCTTCTTTGTCCTCAAATGCTTCAGATAAAATTGGCATCATGTATGCAGCTTTTTTGTTTGTGTAGCTCATTGTACGTGTGATGCATACTGTACAGAAAAGCATCACAGGTGGAACAACTTCAAGAATTGGTAATGACCCTCAGTATGCTTTGATTCCCTTAAAATCTCATCTATTTTAATTTCTGGTCAATACTTATAAAGTACATGGTGCCCCAAAAGAAATCACTACTTTGAATTTTTACCCCTTAGATAAGAGCAACCCTAGTGTGCATGTAGCTTCCTAAAATATTACTTTCAGCAATTACAGTTTATTATAAGTTTGCCAATTTTGGTAGTTACAAGCCACAAAGACATAACCTTCTAGCATTTAAAGACAAAACCAGACTGCTGCAACAGATTAAAACAAAGATCTTTTTTTTACAGAGTAACATTATTTTACACAACATATGATCAATTCAGTAAAATATTTTATATCAAGTAGTTTTTATGTGCTTTGAACAGATAACAAGAGTTCTCTCTATAGAAATTACTAGTTAGGCCTCGAAGTACTGTATACAGTTTTGGCCTCCTTGTCTAGGAAAAGATACTATTTTATTGAAATGGGTTCAGAGGAGGACTACTAGGATGATTCTGGAGATGAAAGGGTTATCTTTACAGGGACAAGTTAACATCTTTTAACTAATTTTCTTACCTTGCCAATGGTTTGCAACTATTTCAAAAGCTATACAATAAAAAGAAAAGTTTACTTTTTTGTTTTTTGAAAAATAAGGTTAAGCTTAAGGTTATTTTATTTATCCACAGCTACTTCCACAAGTCTGATAATCAATGAAATCAATTATTGTGTATGTGACATGTCATTAAACCATTGCAAATTCTACCCACTGTATTACCATTATTTCCTTATTA